AAAGATCTAACACAATTTATTTTTTATTATTCTTATAACTAAGATCGAAGATGATAAAAGTTGGTTTTACCATTTTAATCAGTCATGCGCCCTCCATCGTACGATTGTCTATGCACCAACTGAGTCTAAGTAACTTTCATTTAGGCATCTCTTTTCTACCTATTAGTGCATAATCCACATGCGTCATTCCTATTCTTACTGGCCACAAAACTACTACATTTCATTTAACTATATAAAGAATTGTCTCACCTTGACAACTGAAAGCCAAAAAGTGCTTACCTGATTCCAACACTGTATTTGCGTCTAATTGGTACATTCAGGAAATGCCATTGCGTCGAATTCTTTTAATCTATGCATTTCGTATGTTATTCAATTTTCCTGGATTCTAGTGCATAAAAGGCCACAAGTTTCCGAATGCTCCAATCAAAACTAGAGATTACTGAAAATATAGCTAGAATGAAGGCAATTGAGCCATCCAAGGCTTGTTTTCAAGGAAATTGGTGGGGGTAATTTTAAATATAGAGTTAAGTTTAAAAGTATTTGGAGTAGGAGTTGAGTGATCGTTAAGATTAAAGCTCTGTAGTAATGGGTCTAAAGTGGGTAAAGAGAAATGAAAAATTTGAGGACCCTATGAGAAACCCTTCGACAAGCTAATGCTAAAGAGGTATAGCGAATTAGGCCATTAAAATAGTTATTGGGTAGATGAGTTATTGACATCGCCATAGGCACTTTGAAGACAGTCTGACATAGACATTGACAACACCATGTTAGACTGGTTAGCCTCAACAGATTTTGAGACCTTTCCAGGTAGTGGACATACAATTAATATTCAACAAAAACGAGTAGACCTTTAAAGAATTTTTAGAGGAAAAATTTTAATCAGCGTTTAAACATCACTAGGTACGATCATACAATTTTCCGTAGCAAATGGTGGACTAACTGATTTTATTGAATTGTAGAAATGATTTGAAATTTATGAAATTAATTACGATTTTTTATCTATTCTAATTTTTATTATCTGCGGTTTACACAATTTCATCTTCATACTGTTTTTTTTTTCGTTCACACGACCTGACAACTCTTTTTGTACAAGTTAAACAAAGCAGGTTTTGGCGAAAAAAGACATTTTATGCTCCATGTTTTACCTTTACACAATCAACGGCTCTCCCACACTCTCAATAGCACTCTGTTTAAACACAGTGACCCATTTTGAGGAAATATTAATAGATCAACACTCTTCTCCACCCCTTCATTCACTTTTCCCAGAAGTGCGCTTCCCACAGTCTTCTATCCTCATTGTAGTTCGGATTATAATGTTAACGAAATAGCATGAAGTGTGCTTAAGCGTATTTTATCCAATAATAATTTTTCAAACTTTAAAATATGAAAACTAAATCATCTAACAATAAATTGAGTAAAACCTAGTTGTAATTAAATTTGCAATAAGAATAATGAATAGTGTTTTAAAGCGAATAAGAACTCATTGAAGAGCATGAGGGTAAATAAATATTTTGGCTAGATGTTAACCCTATTGTACAAGGACTGACTCGTTCAATTTGGCTATAATTACTCGCTTTCTTCCCAATATTGGGCGTTTCAGATACTGAAATCCATACGCTTTGTTTAGTATTTATGTCATCGTTGTCTCATCTGGATCCCATCAAAGGGATGCGGAGTCTAAAGCAGAAGTGTTCCCACTTGACATCCATTAGCTATTATTATAATTACTATCACGAAATCTTGTACAAAATTATTTATCGTTAATTCAAGCGTTTCGTAGGTCGAACACCAAAACTTGCATCCAAGTTAAATAATAAACCTTTGGTGGATAATTAAGGAAGATATTTAGGAGAATTCTTTCTGTTAGAAGTCTTAGAATACAATTTAGACCAGAAACAATTTCCCGAAGTTTTATAAGCATCGTTTAAAATTTCAACCCAACCGTTGTGCCAGATTATGGTTGCATATAACTAATCAAAGTATATTCAATGTCATATTTAATCCTATCTAATTAATAAAAGTCATATTGCCCAATTCTAATTCCAACAACGTCCAATTCATTTGAAATTTATAATAACCACCATAAATGAGCCCAGTTCTTTGACTATTTATTCCTGTAGGTTTCATAAAATATTCCAAGCAATAACTCATATTTGAACTAAACTGCGCTACCATCAATCTGAAAGAAATTAATGAGAACAATCCTTTAATATTTTTCAATTACTTAACTTGATGTGTTATGTTAGAATGTAATTACTAAATGACATTTTCCTTAGAATTATACTATAATATTCACTATTTTTCACCTATTAACTAATTAAACCTTTATTTCTCTTTATTCCAATGAATTTATTAGCTTTATTAGAATGGTATAATTAATCATTCCATATGAAACGTGTATCTAATTTTGTGGTTTGGTTCCGATCAGTTTTATGCTATAATCGAGGTATCACCTCCAGCACCCTACAAATAATAGTCTAACTTAGATTTACATATACAATTAGTTATACAATTTTATGGCGTACAACTTAAATAGCCGTAGTTGTTTTCTCAAATCCAGTAAACTCAGGTTAATAGAACAAATCATACAGAAATAACTTGGTTACTCAATACATAAAGTGTAAATTAGATTTATTCAAGTGCATGACTGCAAAAATTGACCGAAAACTAAATACAGTAAAATGTGAAAAATATTTTTTGTTTTTGTTTTAATTTGAAAATGAATGGGAATCGATTTCTTTGAAAGCGGTAGAGATCGAAGTATATATTATTATTATATAATCTATGTATATGATATATTATTTCTCATTGACAATATTCCTCCACCCTCCATTATCATTAAAAAAACTCAAATCTTTCATAATAACTTTATATATCTGTTTAATAATTCACATTTACCGAACCAAAATTATAAAAATAAGCAGTACTTTTGGCATGGTCATGTTCAGAACACTGTACAATTGATCGTTATAGTAGAATAATTCCGATAACTAGCAGTAAAAGGAAGCTTCCAATGAGCGAAATACGTCTAGTTAAGAAGGAATAATAATGACTCTGCTTTTTTACCTCATCTGGATATGGATATTACTATTTTAAATTAATTGCCATTAATTTTAAATAATTGTTTCCAAGCCTCCGGTGAATCGGTTTTAGAATGCCTATTCCAGGGTAAGCAAAATCGTACACATTTTAGTATATATTATATATCTGAAATTTGATTAATAAATAAATTGAGAAAAATAAAATAATAAATATCTCATCGACTTAATTGATTTTTCAGTAAAATTAAAAATAAATTATTCTAAGATCTTATTCAAACTCTAGTTATATTTGTGTTTAATTAAAGGTTGTTTAAGCAAAGCATTCACTTTAGCGGGATTCCCTTGTTTTGGCGTGTATACTCGTTCTACAATGGCTGATCAAGTAAGTCATTTTTTCGTTACCATTTATTACTTCATTTAGGCAGAAAGAGCTTTTCAAAAGCAAAAACTCCTTGGAAAGAAAGGAGCTCGTTACTATAAGTCAATTGGTTTGGGATATAAGACACCCAATGAGGCTATCTTTGGCACTTATATTGATAAGAAATGCCCTTTCACAAGTGACGTTACCATCCGTGGGCGTATCCTCACTGGCGTTGTCCGCAAAATGAAGATGAACCGCACCATTGTTATTCGCCGTGATTACATGAAGTACGTTAAGAAGTATAAGCGTTTTGAGAAGCGACACAAGAATATGTCAGTTCATTTGTCCCCTTGTTTCCGTGACGTACAAGTTGGCGACATAGTCACTTGTGGAGAATGTCGGCCGCTCAGCAAAACTGTTTCCTACAACGTCATCAAAGTGTCAAAGGCAAGCGGTTACAAATCAAAGAAAGGCTTTTCTAAGTTCTAATGTGTATTTGAAATAAATCTGTTTTGGTGTTTGCCTGTTCTTTAATAATCTTTATTGGTTTGAAGCATTTAGGTCTGTTTGGCATTTAGCCCCAGTCTGACTCTTTGAAATTCTTTAAGTTAATAGATCCACCCTTGTGGTGGTACTAGTACTATCATATACTTAATTTTTCTTTAGGTATCTTTCTTTAGATGCTTGATTACTACTAATGGGCATTTGGGCCTTTTTATTTAAACAGGATACTGTGTTGTACTCTGTGACTTGATAGTATGTTCTGTATGCAGTGCAGTAATCTAGGTTGATAACTGCTTTTGGTTCTCTTCATTTGACATCGACAATTTAATCGTCCGTCTACTCAGATTTATTTAGCTACACATTTTTATATCAATTGGGATTTGATGTAGTTAAGTTTTCTAATCCTTTTGTCTGTCAAGTATTCTTACTTCACTTTCCCTATATGCCAATCACTTAAGTATGCTTTCGGTGGTTCCATCAATTCTGCCTAATAACAGGTAAAGGGTGAAATTTAGGTTTCCTGCTAGGTGTCCCGACGATGCGTTGGAAAGGATTATCTCAATTGAGAGTTGGATTTCTCAACATGACCTTGTTGAAAGCACTTACTACCACTGATTTACATCATAACCACTCAGTGAACTCTGTCTTTGTGAACAATTTATCTCCTGTTTCCGCGCTCCCTTTCTCCAGCCTCCGCTAAGGAGTCTTGGCCTTGTATTTCTTAGCTGTAACAATAGCACTGTGCCTGGTAGAACGTTTATCTTAAGATGGCAGAATAAGCTATTATTTTCTAGCTAGTTGTCAGAACTCGCGAAATGTAGCTATGAACCTGACTCAATTAGTGGTAACTTGCCTCTCATTTAATAATAGAGGAGTTGTGGGTGGAAAATTCGACTTCTCTCAGACGTGGCACCTAGTGAGGGTTACACTCGTTTGCGTCGATGGTGAGGCGGTTAACATACAGCGCTGATGACAGAGGCCTCGAGCTCATTTTTTAATGTTACGTACTTCGTGAAGTGAATGGCCAAGCACACTTTGCTATTTCTTGTACACGAAGCAAGTGGTTGGGGGCCGTTTGTGCATTCCCTCTAACCCAGACAGGTGGGGTAAATACTTCCTGAAATCTGATTGAAGGGAAAGTGCATTTAGTTTTAAGATCTAGGAGCTTTCATGTCCTGAGATTTTGCTATATTGTTTGGCTATTGTAGAACAATAGATCGAAAACATGGAGTAGATGCTATCTGTTCATATAGTAAAGGCAATGGTAATTTTCGTCCACCAAGAGTTGACTGATGTCTCATCAACAGCCATCCGTATCATCTCTTCTCAAATAGGCTTGTAATCATTCCTACTTATTAAAATCAGTAGGCTCGATAGTTGAGAGAGGAGTTTCAGAAACTCGTCATGAAATAATTGAGACCTCACTTCTTGCGAAGTACAGACGACCTTATAAAATTGTGCGCCAGTTGCAATTTGACTTATAAAGCTTGAAGAAGGGAGACGGGAAGGGAATTTTGAAATCTCACCCCCTCCCTCTACTCATTTAAGATCTGTTCCTTTTTATTCATTTGAGCAGGTTAGGTTTGAAAAAACCTTAAAATTCGCCAGTTTGAAATTACTGCCAATATCAACTAAGCTTAGGCAATATTATTGAGAGTACAGGTCGTTCTGGCCAGCTTAAGCACAATCAGTAAGTGCAATGTAACTTTGAATCAGTGGTTAGCTGAGATTGCCTCTGAACGCACGGCCGCAGTTGCCTGCTTGGCAATCGATGACAAGACTGCCCTTTCCAGTTTATTCGAAAGCGCGCGTGGTAACTTTCTTTTTGACAACATTGTTCCCTCCACACTATATTCGTTAATAGAAATTATCATCCAGTTAGGACTTTACTTGAGTCTTACTTCGTATTGAAGGTTACAGACGAATTTAACCCCAGTATGTGAGAGGGGAGGAGGGAGTGTGCCGAGAACGTATTCTAAAACCGCCCTCATTTTCCAAGGCCATTAGTGGCAGCTTTAGTGTGACACCTTGCTTGCAAAGAAGGCGAATCCTGACGATTTGCATTGACCAACCCCTACTCTATCACACATTGCATTTTCCAAAATTTTTACTCTACGACTACCCACTGAAGGTCCAACCTTGAAAAGACATATTAATCATCCTAATTTTTTCAATTAGGGGGAGACAGAGTTGACATCGCAACTCGAGATATCTCCGGGCCGTCGACAATGTCAAGAGTCCTACTCCCAATCAATCATTAGGGCACAACAAAGAGCAATTGTTGAAATCTTTACTCGCTCTCTGTGGACTTGACAATAATTAATTATAGTTGCGTGACCACCACCTTGACTTGTCTTGAAAATCAAATCCTTGGTTCATATAGATGTGACTTCTGTAAAACAAAATTGCGCCTACGAGGCTGCAACCTCTACTAAGGAGTTCACATCCAAAGTAAAAACAATCGTTAATTGAAGTCCTCGTCAAATCGGTACGACATAACAAGTCTTTCAGTGGTTAATGATAAGGTGTGTCCGATAATCGCAGACTTAAAGCACATCGAATTTTTATGAAAGGGTTAGTATTTACTTCCACCGAGTTATAGTTGGTAAGGTGTTTGGTTGGTGGATTCCTCAGACAAATCTAGAGCCCAAGTTCTAGAAAAGTCATTCATTCATTCATTTCAAATGGCAGGCGTTTTGATAGTTACCATTAGCCCTTTAGCTGACTTCAGGCTTCACAGGGGAAGGATCATCAAAGTAATAGAAAGTCGAGAGGTGGAGAACAGAAGAGTGATTTACAGTTGTGAAAGTGGCAGACACAAAGGTAGATGAAAGGTGAGGTGAGTACTGTAGAAATAGTCGAATATGACTTACAGTGGGGTGATGGTGGTTTGAATTCAGAAGTCAACTGCCGGTTTATAGACTTTTTTGCCGTATGAGAATACGTTGCCCAGGGTGCATCACGTGGAGGTAAGTCTATCGCACACCCCGTTCTAGAAAAGTAGATTTCGTCATTTCGGCCGCCATAAATCACTCATCTAGTAGCTAAGCCCATCAACTTCTTTCGGCCTATCAAAATAGACAGTGGGTAGGACGAGGTAGTGCGACCGATCTTATTATAGGCTAATTTTCTTCACCTAGTTTGTGAAACTCAACCACAAAGGTTATTAATATAAGAGCAGGAAATGCTATTTTGTCGGTGATAGGATTAATGATGCGATTATTAGATGTACAATTAAAAAAAATTTATAGCAATGCGTTCACAAAAATCTTGCTTCACGATAAGAGTACTTTCCATTCTGACAACCAAATACGTTGTGTTAATTTACTCAATGTGCCATGTAACTCCTAGAACGAAATGGCTCCAAGCTGTTGATTCTTAATAACAGCTTTTATTAAAGTAGAAATAAAGCAATCTTAGCTTGAAGGATACTTCACCTACTGTGCAGTTTAAGTAGCGTAATGCTCCTATTTGCAAACACCTCATTTCAAAAGACAGAGCATGTGGAAGGTATCGAGCTGCAAACGCTTTCTTTGTCTACTAATTGAGGCATTGATATTATTTAATAAATTGACAAGTTAAGTGAAAAGACTGATGTTTCACTGTAGCTCACCAGATATTATAATAATAATATTTAGCTAGGAAAAAATGTGAAGTTGTGGGGGCAGGGGAGGGGAGGGGAGGGGGGCGGGACGGGACGGTGAAGCAGATATAAAATCGTGGGATAGTGAGATTGAAGGGCTCAATTCATATACTGAGTCGTAGTTACGTAAATGATGTTGCCATTTGGAACCTAATTATTTCTTAACGAGACCAATAACCCACTTCTGTCCCAACTAATACGTACCAGTTTGATCTGAGAAAATTTACCGTTGGATGGTTAAAACAGACTTGCCAAGCAGGATATTTGTATGTGATCAACTCAAGATTGATGATAACAAAAGGGAGAGAAGTGCTAATACTGAACTGTAAGGTCAAAATCGGCAGTTGTTGAACGTCGGAGACAAACCAAATTGAGCAAAATTAGTTATACTACAATTCCTGACCCGGTCTTACGAAAAACGGACATAAATAAGCCATTTGGGTAGAAAAATTAGACTATATATCAAAGTATCATCAAATATTCTCACAAGGGCTACTCTTGCACCAATGCATTTTTATACTTAAATGCAAAAAATAAGAAAATATTTACCCGCAGTAACACAAACACGAAGTTCTTAAAATAGACCACTTCAATTCTTCCGCATCAACAACCCCCCCCCCCTCCCACATTCACGTCTCTCAAAAGCTTCACCACCGTATACTTCCCAAACCTCAAAACAGACCCAGTTTCTATGATAAGGGTTCGCACTCTTCTCCACTCTAATGATAACTATCTGATACAAATAAAAAACTATGATAAGGCTTCGCATTAGCTTAATCTCAAACACACATTCAATACACAACCCCCCCCCCCTTGTCCTCACAACCCACTCCCCCAACCACGAAGGGCAATCAGCCAGTTTAGACAGTTGAACTCATCTATCGATTGCCTGTCCGAACTAGATTAAGTCTTCCCCTTAAATGATTAAAATATTCGCCTATCTAGTCTCGGTTACCGTCACCACCACCCCCCTTCAGGTAACATTTTGGTGAACTATCTTAGCTGATTTGACACAAAGCCCCTGACTAATTAACCAAACCCAGCCACATCTTGGCTGAGTTTTTGTAAAAAGTGCCCACTAGCCTAAGAACTAAACGAACCACCACCTCTGATGAACTTATTGACCAAAGTGCAAACTAGGTACTTCATTAAAAGCCAATTAACCCAGAGAAGATGGCAAGATGACAGTCTAAAAATAGACCAGAACTCAATAACTCACCAATACAACATCAACACCTGAAAGGCAAGCAAAACTGCTGAGTTGGTGGAGGATATTATATCCAGAATGTTCAATTAAAACCACGCATCGAAGGCTCTAGATTTGAGGTCCGTAATAACTACTGAGTTGTTATAGACACTCTCAAGTCTGGGTAGATTGAATATTTCTCAAGTAACTAAAAACATCCATGTAATTTAACCACTAACCACATATGACTGATTGCGAGCTCCATAAGGCCAGGGGGAATTAACATCATTAACACATGCCAGGTTGCCTGTTTTTCAGGCACTGGCTACTATGGCAAAATGGAAGAAAACACAAATAAAAATCTTTCTCAACTCCTTCATCTCTTTTGGATAGCTACACCACATCACTTTTAATGACATGAAGACATGATAAAAATAATCCGATATAAACCAAACCTCCCCCTCCCCACATAAACAAATAATGTGTTATTATAAAAGATGCATTTATCATAGAAAAATGGTACGACAAAATGGATTAACGCAACAGAATATTGAAGCACACGCATATAGGCACCAGTTCTTTCATAATAGGCGCGAAAACCGATTGCTCCCTATGCCAAGATCAATTTGTGGCAGAGTTCGATTACGCTCATTGGAACACTTCCGCTACAGTGGAGTTTTATCCTTAAAAGAAAAAATGGGGGGGGGACTTATCGGCAGCAAAATTAACATACTGAGTTCTCAACAAAGTCCAGTATCAGCACAGACCCAGTTTCTACGATAAGGATTCTCACTCTTCCGTTCAACCTCTCGACTTCTTTCTCCCATTTCAATACTACCCCCCTCTATGATGCCCGATGTCAGCTATACGATTATTGACACCTATCAAAAAGCCCACCATCTGATACAAATAAATAAATGATAAGGATTCGCTTTAGCTTAATCTCAAAAACACATTCAATACGCCCTCCCCCCCCCCCTAGCACCAAATTTTGAGCGTCTTAAATCTTATGAGACTGTACTGGTAAAACCGGCGTATTTAGTTTACTTCCATTCAGAAAAGCATTTGATCATTCATGTGGCGTAGACGGTAGTCGTCACGATGTAATGCTTCTTTCACAGCCCGTTAAGAAAGTGTCTCACAACACTCATTTATTCCCGAAGGTGGCATCATGAAGCCTCTTTTGTCAGTGGCTCGACACCTGTTACTCGGGGATGATGAGAATCAAGTCTGCGACCTCTGAGACGACAGAGGATCAAGTGATTAACACGCTACTGACACATCATAGTTGCAGCATTTAGTCATTCTATAAAGATCTACCCCTTTATGACGGCCCACTCCTAGCACAAAGGTAGGACAGAATGTCTTTCCTCTATGTAGAGCATTGTTTAATTTGAGTTAGTCGTTAAATTTGATATAAACTAACTTGAATTCTATCCTCACCACTAAGGATACTCTACGGCCGACCTAACCGCTACAGATATTGCCACTGCAGACCAGATAAGCAGACGAAATATCCATTCGGCGGAGTGAGACTGATGAGATGTATGAGGTCCTAGCTTCTCATTGGTCCATTGGCCGAACAAGGTACTTACCTAACCACAAAATCTATTAGCAGACGCACCCTCAAGGTGCTCACTTATTGGTTAGATACCTGACCAACCGCGTTTTGAGCGTGTCCCAAGTGCGCCCATGCGTGCACGTAATGTACAAAACGTAACTCCCCTATTATTTGCGACACAATAGTTGCAGTATGGATCGCAGTCGCTTCGCTTCGTCTTCCAACTCCGCCTGCTCCGATGGTATTTGGACGTCAGGTCCTCAATACTTGCCCCACTCCAGTATGGCTTCGCAACACATGTCCATGGGTATCTATGTGGTTTTAATATATTACTATTACTTATTTGCGCCTATGTCGACATTAATGAGTGGTTTACTTTTTACAGCTAATGCTTTTCGAGGCAGCAGTGCCGTTCATATGATCGATGGAATTAGTGATTGGAGGAGTTTGTAAGTTCTGTTGACTTACTGATCATTTGGCATTGGTACGTTTTCCAGAGGTTACCTCCATTCCAAAGGGGTTTTATTATATAGGTGTTTAGGGATACCTGAGAAATATTCAATCTATCCAGACTTGAGAGTGTCTATAACAACTCAGTAGTTATTAAGGCCCTCAGAGTCTAGACCCTTCGATACGTGGTTTTAATGAAACATTCTGGTTAAGATATCCTCCACCAACTCTGCAATTTCGGTTGCCTTTCAGGTGTAGTGGTCGCGTTGGTGAGTAGAGTTCTGGTCTATTCTCAGACTGTCATCTTGCCATCTCAGACTTAGTTGAGTTTTAGGGAGGCCCCTAGATTGCACTCTTGTCAGTAAGGGATTGGGGTAGTGTTTCATTTTTTATGGGGGACTCCGTCAAGCTGTGGCTGAGTTTGGGTGTAATTAGTCATGGCTTTGTGTAAAATCAGATGAAGTAGTTCATAAAAATGCTATCTGCAGGTGGGGTGGTAGGGGGTGGTGGTGTCTATATTGGGGGGAGATAGACGAATATTTTTAACATTCGACAGGTAATCGATAGTTGAGTCTCAATGACTGAACTAGTTGATTGCCCATTATGGATAGTGGTGTAGGTGGATGAAGGCGGTCCAATTGAATGATTTGGCTTTTGGTGCTGGGGGGAGTGTATTGAATGTGTTTTAGAGATTAAGCTAAAGCGAATCCTTATCATGTATTTATTTGTATCAGATGGCGGGCTTTTTGATAGTTGTCAATAATCGTATAGCTGACATCGGGCATCATAGAGGGGAGTAGTATTGAAATGGGAGAAAGAAGTCGAGAGGTTGAACGGAAGAGTGAGAATCCTTATCGTAGAAACTGGGTCTGTGCTGATACTGGACTTTGTTGAGAACTCAGTATGTTAATTTTGCTGCCGATAAGTCCCCCCCCCCCCATTTTTTCTTTTAAGGATAAAACTCCACTGTAGCGGAAGTGTTCCAATGAGCGTAATTGACCTCTGCCACTTGGATGACTTCCTGGTAAGAGTGAGCTGCCTGATTAGGCGTCTGAACGAAGCGACTATTGACCTTTGTGTCTTTTG